ATATATATGAGCAGTCTGATTTATGCTTCTAAAGACAATAGAAAGCATTTAGAAACGAGGCTAGGAATATTATATTATATCAGAAGGTTAAGGAAATTGAAGAGGAAGAGTGTGGAAAGAAGAAACGCGATGGGACGGCAGGGTCGATGCCTTATGAAAATCTAAAAGTCAGCAGCCTCGGGGATCATCTCTCTATCTGATCTTAATTTGTCAGCCGGCACAGGGACAATTTAGACCACACCCTCGCTAGTAAATCGTTATGAGAAACGTCAGCTTCGTGAAAAAGCTTGCCCACTTTTTCTTCAACTTCATATCCTTAATTATAAAATAAGGATTTTAAAAACTGTCGATGTAATTCTGCTCGTCGTCGATCAATGCATGAATGACAGAGGAGGTCGAAGAACTTCTTTAAGTAAAGAAAACTGAATTGTATTTTTTTTCCGAAATGTGGGTGGTACACGTGGCTCGCTAAACTATGGCCCAGGCCGCGATTGTACAACAAGAAAAGTAACCACGAACGACGTGGGTACACATCGTATATACCAAAGGAGCATTGTGCGCGCTTCGGCATTCAGAGGACGTTCTTATCTGCCTATCCGGAGAGCTGTCAGCAAAGTTCCTGAATAATAACGGAGAACAAGACAGAGAGATCGGGAGAAAGAGAAAATGGAGAGCCAACGCTGTTTCTCCTATCAGCCGCGGTTAGGATATGCCTAACTATTCTGTTTCCATGCAGCTGCCGGACGTTTCGTCGTAGATAATGTTGTCCACGATGACTAGATCGTTGGATGCGATCACCGCGAACGGTAAAAGTGTCCTACTGCTGCTACGAATCCTATACACACGAATATAATATGATTCGTATAAAAATAGTCATTAAACACTCTGTTGAACATAACTTTTATTTTATGTGTAACGTATTGGTATAGTATATCAAATAATTTCTGAGGTTGATACATTTTAAAATTATTGTATACAATTTATTGATAAAAAGATTAAATACGGAAATGAATTCTATAAATGACGATATAAATAATTAAATGGTGACAAGTAAAGCAATTGTTTTAAATGTAAGCATTTTCGTTTTCATTTAGGGTTGCGCATAAGAGCGGAAAGACAAAGAAAACACCGTCGAAACGGCTAAAAGGTAAGATGAGAGAGCGGTTAAAGCGAAGTCACAGAACGCTAAAGGGAGAATTTGAGAGTTCGCAAATTAGCCGCAGGATTGGCCTTATAATCCTTAAGGGATGGTAAGGTCGGGCGACGCAAGCTATTCTCTTTGACTCTTACCCACCCTCTCAGTTATCCCTCAACTTTGTCCTTTTCCTACGGCCGACGAAGTCGTCGGATGAAGACGTATAAACGTAGCCTGACCTCCTCTTTCTTATTCTTTAATCCCACCCCAGCCTCATCAGTGGCTATGGTAAAAATTACGAGCAGTAAGGATGAAGAGGAAGGGAAGAGATTGTAGAGCAGCGATTGAAAGTAATGAACCGTGGAAGGAAGATCACCGAGAATGGTGGTCTGTATCCTCGGCTCGCTTAAATCCAAGGGTCGGTTAATTAATCCCGTTAATTTGCCGGCAATCGATGTATATCTTGTCCACGCGTGAGGAAAATTAGTGTGAAAAACGAATTTTTCCATATGAGTTACACAACATCTCTAATTAATTTGTAAATGTATGTTATAATATATAATATGAATTTTTTTTTAATCACAAAACAGAAGAAATTACCGGAAATGATGTTCTTAAGAAAGGCACATAAACGTCATAGACTATAGCATTTAACCGAAGAAATTGGACGCAACAGAGTTCCAGCCAGCATCGCCTCTTAATTGATCTACAGCCGAATATTACACGATCGGACGGAAAACAGTAAGCCCACGAAAGTGGTCCGCTTAGTCGGTCGTTGGCCGAGATCTATCGTAGAAGTAGAGTCACGAGGAGAGAAGATCATACCACTTAGCTCGGCCAGCCAAAGGAGCTGTTCGCGATCGTAAATAAAAGAAATCCTTGTAATGGCTTTCGGCGAAGATCTCGCTCGGCCCTGCATCCTCCTACCCTTCCTTCATCCCTCCAAGTATTTCGTTTGGCCCCTCGCACGGGCTATTAAGCTCCTCGGCGGAGGCGAGCGGCACCCTGCACCAGCCGTATCAGAACGAGCCCCGTGTAGGCTCGCTCGCAGCACAGGCCGGAACCGGCCAGCAACCACAGTTAATTCCTTAACCCTTATAGACTTGGAGAAAATTTAGGGACCCGCGAGGAGGAGGTACTACCGGAACGTATAAACTGCCACAGAGAAGGAGGGCTAAAGAAGGAAGGCTGAGGAAGTCTCGGAGAAGCCATGAGCCGAAGTAGGAATACCAGGTGCTCCTGGGATCTTGGAGGCATCTTACGCCCGGACGATACATAATTTATGTTGCGCTCTGTTGGGCTTAAGACAGTATTAAGATCGACCGAACACCAACATCCTACTCCTTACACTTACCTCACCCCTCTCTCTCTCTCATGGAAGGAAGATCAC